CCTCTCTCTCTCTCTCTCAGATCGATTCCTCCGGAGGCTCCAGTATCAGTAACAGTGCGAGGGGGCGATTAATTTAAACACGGGCGCGCTCCAGACGAGAGGAGTGAAACGTGAGGCTCACCGCAGATCAAACGCTTCACACCTCCGTCCTCAAACACAATCACTCCATTCACGGCTCCCCTCTCTCTCTCCCTCTCTCTCTCTCCTCTCTCCCTCTCTCTCTCTCTGTTTCTGTTTGGTTTTCTCCGCTGAGTTCGGAGCTGCACCAACAAGTCTCTGAGTTACAAAAAAAACAAAAACGTCTGAGTCACGATTCTCAAACTTCAAACTTGATTTTGATTCTAAACAAAAGACTCGATACTTGATATTTATTACTGAACACGATAATCCACGATGATTAATAAAAAAAAACACTCTTTCTTTAGACAATAGAGGCTTTGCACCGTCACGTGACCCTACAGCAACAGAACCTACGCCGCCATGACACCAGACACACTATGTCACTGACTTCAGCAGCATCGGAGAAACATGGGCAGGTTTTGTTGTGTATTTGGTTGTTCTAGACGCTCTGAAAGGGATAAAACGATTCATTTCTTCACTGTTCCTCTGATAATGACTCATCAGGATCAAACAAGGGAATTATCGAAAAAAAAAGGGACTTATGTCTAGAGAACATAAACCACGAAGAGATTTCCTACGGTATTTAAATAGTTTCATAGTTTATTTCATGAGAGAAGCACATTTACTGAACTAAAATGTAAAAAAAAAACATTTGCAGTGTGAGTGTGAGTAGAAACTGTATGTTCCAGCACATATAAACATGTCACTCGTCGTAGGACCATGTTTTCTTTATTGTCTTGTTTATCCACATCTATGTCTTCTAGAATGAATCGTTTTTTCTGAGTGGATCTTTCTAACGTTCGCGAGGATCTTTTCATGGTCGATTCTTTCGAGGTTCATGTTGATCACAGGAGCCCAGTGTGGGTTCGTTGAATCCTAAACTAGTGTGGGTTTTCCTGGATAAAATAATGAAAATTTAATTCAGTAAATGTGAAACAATTTAAATAGCAAAATCTTGATGAAACTTCGTGTGTCTTGATGGGACCATTGGAAATCTCTTCGTGGTTTATGTTTTCTAGCCATAATCTGTGTCTTTTTTTCGATAATTCCCTTGTTTGAGCTTCTGATGAGTAATTTCCAGAGGAACAGTGAAGAAACGAATCATTTTATCCCTTTCAGAGCTTCTAGAACAACCAAATACACAACAAAACCTGCCCATGTTTCTCCGATGCTGCTGAAGTCAGTGACATAGTGTGTCTGGTGTCATGGCGGCGTAGGTTCTGTTGCTGTAGGGTCACGTGACGGTGCAAAGCCTCTATATTAGGGTCGGCTGATATGGGCACCTGGAGACATATCGCATCAGTATTTATCTGTGGAGTCATTTGTCTGTGTGTGTGTGTCGTACTGTCCCTGAACACACCACAGAGTCACGTCACTCACCTGTGTTTGTTTACACCCACAGACATAGGCTACGTTCAGACTGCAGCCTGAAGTGACCCAAATCCGATTTTTTGGCCTCTATGTTCCTGTATCTGATCTTTTAATGACAGTCTGAACCACACAGATCTGATTTTTTCAAATGTGACCCAGGACACTTGGATATGTGCTCCTGAAACTGATACATATCTGATCTTTTGACATGTGACTTCAGTCTGAACGGCCAAAGTGCATTCATCCACCTACACGTTATCAACAAGACACAAACGTCACTATTCTGCACTGAAGTAGGAGAAAATTGTTAATAAACTCTGTGTGACTGAAGTGAAGCACATCTCCACTCACCACAAAACACCACGACCAAAAAACCTCGTCCTTCTCCTTCGAGAGGAACGAGAGGAACTTTAAAATCTCCAGGTGCTCGATGCTGCGTCCATGTTTGGACAACTTCTGTAAACACAGAGACGCTCGCTGCGGTTGACGTCGTCGTGTCTCCAGTGTCACATGTGGGACACTTTTGGGCCGTTTAATGTTCACACTGGAGTCACATACAAGTCACATTTAACTGGAAATGTGAACGACCTCGAAAAAACATCGGATTTCACAAAAAAAATCGGAATTGAGCGTTAAGCCCTGCAGTCTGAACGTAGACTTGGATCCAAACATTGAGATTATTTTCTTTTTACGGACAATCGGTTTGAGTCTGGATTAAAAGGACATTTATTAGTTCAGACTTGTGATGTGGGAGGAGCCTGTGTGAGGCTGAGTGTTGGAAATATGTCGACTTTGAAGCTAGTTTTGGTTCGTTCTGATTGGTTATTGATTATCTGCTGTCGCTCTCACACATAAACAGGCTGTTTTCTATTGGTCTGTTGTAAAGTGTTTATATTGGTCGTATATTTGTTACTGGACCTGCATTGATATGTAAATGAGCTGTGAACAGAGGTGTGAATGATCGACATTTACTAGCTAGTAGTGCTGGGTCGGTCGTGAACGAAACGGCTCTTTGAAGCGAATGACGGGAGCCTGATCCTTATTGGGAGTCGTGTTTTCTCTTTCTCTCACTTTTTTCTCTTCACGTCGCGTGCAGATTCGTGGCTGAAAACGAAACTTTCAGAAATCTGCGTGTGCATAGGGTAAAAAAATGTGCATGTTTGTCTGTAGTTCAGCTTAAAATAAATAAACCAGGACTAATCTTGGGCTCGAGAGACGGAGAGACCGAGTCCCGACACTCAGTCCTGGTTCAGTTCTGGTTTAGTCCTGTTTTACACATGGTTTAGATCTGGTTTAGTCCTGGTTTAGACCTGGTTTGACCTGGTTTAGACCTGGTTTAGACTGGTTCAGTTCTGGTTTAGTCCTGTTTTACACATGGTTTAGATCTGTTTTAGTCCTGGTTTAGACCTGGTTCAGTTCTGGTTTAGACCTGGTTCAGTCCTGGTTCAGTTCTGGTTTAGTCCTGCTTGCAACAAAATAATGAGCGTTTATTTATTTATTTTTCACAGGTCTCACTCTTTGTTTTCACACTCTGAGGTGAGAAAGTGACGAAGTGTAAAACTGAAACCAGCTCTTCTTTTCTTCAAGTCCGTTGCACATTTGACCAAAACTCAGACTCTTCAGAATCTCATTTATTCTGTCAGATTTTCTTTCAGAAAAAATAGATTTATTGTTTGTCTTGTGCACTAGTCCTGGTTTGGACCTGGTTTAGTCCTGGTTCGGACCTGGTTTAGTCCTGGTTTGGACCTGGTTTAGTCCTGGTCCAGACCTGGTTTAGTCCTGGTTTGGACCTGGTTTAGTCCTGGTCCAGACCTGGTTTAGTCCTGGTTTAGTCCTGGTCCAGACCTGGTTTAGACCTGGTTTAGACCTGGTTTAGTCCTGGTCCAGACCTGGTTTAGTCCCGGTTTAGTCCCGGTCCAGACCTGGTTTAGTCCCGGTCCAGACCTGGTTTAGTCCCGGTTTAGTCCCGGTCCAGACCTGGCTTAGTCCTGGTCCAGTCCTGGTCCAGACCTAGCTTAGTCGCGGTCCAGACCTGGCTTAGACCTGGTTTAGACCTGGTTTAGACCTGGTTTAGTCCTGGTTTAGTCCTGGTTTAGACCTGGTTTAGTTGGTTAGTCCTGGTTTAGACCTGGTTTAGTCCTGGTTTAGACCTGGTTTAGACCTGGTTTAGACCTGGTTTAGTCCTGGTTTAGACCTGGTTTAGTGGTTTTAGACCTGGTTTAGACCTGGTTTAGACCTGGTTTAGACCTGGTTTAGACCTGGTTTAGTCCTGGTTTAGACCTGGTTTAGACCTGGTTTAGTCCTGGTTTAGTCCTGGTTTTCAGTCCTGGTTTTCAGTCCTGGTTTTCAGTCCTGGTTTAGTCCTGGTTTAGTCCTGGTTTAGTCCTGGTTTAGTCCTGGTTTAGACCTGGTTTAGTCCTGGTTTAGACCTGGTTTAGTCCTGGTT